CACTGGGGTGTTGGAGCAGTGCTGGTGGTGTAAGGAATGAGGGTGGGACCAAGCAGTGTGGTCTGAGCCTGGCTTGTTGAATTGCAGCCTTGCTCTGCCCAGTTTTGAGGTAGGGGCCTCACTCTTTGGATGTCTCCACAATCAAAACACTGTTGCTCTGAGGCCAAGGTATCTATTTTCTTCACCACATATTTTGGGCCCTTCCTGTGGTGCTGCACTGTGTGCACACGTTACCAGCTTGTTTGAGGTGGAAGGCAATAGCAAGTGCTCAGATCTTAAGTCCATTTACAGGTGTAAGGGAAGTTTCCTTCTCATTAAATTCTCTTAATTTATGAGGCTTCTGCTTGCACATTGATCTCTTTTTCTCAGTGTCAGCATCCTCTGAGCCTAGCACCAAACACAGCAGCATCGTCTGTCTTTGCACATAGAGAGGTAGGGGAAGGAAGCTGGTGTGCAGCCTGCTCACTGCTTGCACTGAGGCCAGCTGGCTAGAGCAGCTCCTGGAAAGTGCAGGATGTGGCCCTTCCCAGCGCAGGAAGGCTTAATCCTGCTTGTGTGTCCCTGGGGGCCCTGGCTCTGTGCACTGTAGCAAAGGTGAATGGTGGCTGTTTTCTCCTGCAGCAAAGAAAGAAAAGATTCATGGGACTGGCAGGAAGGCAGCTGAGTACTGCAGGGGGTTTCTCTCCTTGCAGTGGACTCTGCAATTTTTGCCCTTAAATACAGAAAGTTTAACTTAAACTCTTCAATGTAGAGTGTGCCGATGGTGTGTGTGCTCTGCAGGTGGCTCAGGGCTTGTATTTGATCCCATGTTCACACCGGGTTTCAGGCATCTCTCTAGCCCGTGGCTCTGGTGCGCCAAATGGATGCTGTTGTACGTGTGCCACTACAAAAGCCTGCGGAGAAAGGAAATTAGCAGAGCTTTGGTTCTTGTGCTAGCAGTTGTCTCTGCTGGGTCCTACAGCACACGGCTGTGCTGCAAAGCAGTAGGTTGTAAGATGGAGACGGTGCTGGAGAGCTCGCGTGAAGATGAACAGCAGAGCTGCTTTCAAGGAGGTGCTGTTCACTAACCTGCTAGAGATGCCTTTATCTGGTGCTTCAGTCGATCACGTCCCACACCTGCTAGGTGGAATGAGCGCCCGTCTGAGACCTTGGTTCCACGCTGTCTTGTCAGCCAGCATGGGTGTTTTAACCCTCCTGTTTGTTTGAGGGTGTTTGCTGTCTGGCTGGCTAATAAAGGGCGAGTTTTGGGGTATTTTTCAGCTCTTCGACTGACAGAATTGCATTTCAGGAGCTCTGTCTGGAAACCCAAGAAGGGTGTGACAGTGCTCAGTGCCCTCCCAAATTGGCTGTGTTCAGGAAAAGGAGGGTGATCCTGTATCTGTCAGCCTTTCCCTGCCCTGGGATGTGTTGTGGTACCCACTGGAGCATGAAATAAGTCCTGTCAGTTTGTTTCTGACCTCATATTAATGAAGAAAATTGTGGTAACCATGAGAAACTGCTGGCCACACTAATAGTCCTGCTTGTGGTAGATTGCAAGTGTCCACAGACCAGATGAGCCCTGCCAGGCTCCTTTTACCACCAACTGCTGTGTGAAAGGGACCTTCCTCGACTGCTTATCATGGGAACATCCTTTATAATTGTTCCATGTGAGCGACAGAGAGGAGTGCGGCAGCCGTCAGTTAGTGGGGATGGATGTCTGTATTTCTTTCTTCAGGCAATGCAATCTCTCAGGAAAGCAATTTCTTCCTCCTCACGGTGTCATTTGCCAGCCAAGGTAAAGGAGACTTTTGATGGGGCAGAACGCTGTCGTGCCGTCAACTGTCCTAATTCATTAAGATTCCAGTGGCATTTTCGGGAACTTTTCCTTCCTCTTTTCCCTCTCCCCATCCAGGCATACATTAAGCATTACTTTTCTGCTATTGAACACATTGACTTGTGCGCTGTGTTTCCTTCCCTGCTGGATTCTTTTTGGTGGCAGTGGGCAGGCCGGGGGAGCAGCTCCCCCCCAGCAACCAGTGAGACTGTCCGAGGACTTTGCTGTACTGCCATGCGTAGCAGTTCAGCCACATCTCGGCATGCAGTGCGGCCTTTGAGAGGCAGTGCAGGGGAAATATTAGGCTTCCACCATTTTCTGTTAAGTGAATAATGACTGGTACAAGCCTGAATGCTGGTGAGCCCGCCTTAAAACCTGCAGCAGCAGGGAAGATGCTCTGATTTCCAGCGGGTTGGGCTGAGCCTGGGATGGGAAGAGTCAAAGAGAATTAGCTGGTAAATAAGATCTTCTGCCTTCTCTTTGATCTGCTCTACGTGTTCAACTGCTTAAAGGCTTCCCAAGCAAGCAGGATTTTGGGGGGAGGAAGAATTTATCCACCCATAGACCATCTCATGGCTCTGTGAAATGCACAGCTGCAAGACACTCTAGCAGGGGGCTGGGAAGAAATCCGAAGGTAGCCTAGTAAATCCCTGATAAAGAGGCTTCTCTTCCTTCTATTCACGAAGAGCCTGCTGAACAGACAGGGCAAGCTTTAAAACTATTGTTGCTTCCTTTTTTGCTGCCGTGTAAGCCCCTCTGATCAGAGCTTTAATCTAGCTAAAGTTAGTGGACTTAGAGACAGCCTGATCTTTGCATCGTAGCATGGAATGAGCAGGGTGATCCGGAGTGCTGACACCTCCCTGGGCAGTGGTCGCCCTTAAACACCCTCCTGTAAGTGCACAGAGAAAGCTGGGGCGGGGGGCTGCTATAGTGGTGTTGCAAAATGTTGCTTTTGACTTGCTCAGATAAGCCAGACAAAAAGCAAAAAAGAAGGCTAAGAAGGGGTAAAAGGTCAAGGAAGAAAGATACTAATAGCGGCAGTAGATGCTGCAGGTTGACATGGAGGTGCTCAGGTTTCAGGTGGGGTGCAGGTGGAGCCTTGCTGCCCTTATGTCCCTGTAGCGTCCCTCAGGAGCTTCCTCTGGTTTCTCTACTCAAGTGCTGTTCCAGAGAGCCCTGCCTGAAGGAGGGTAGTGCAGCTGGGAGCATGCAGGTTGTCGTGTCTGCAGGAGCCTGGCTTCTGCTCTGGTTTGTCCCCAGGCTGCTCCATGACAAGCCTTTTGATCTCTGTTCCCCTTGCAGGGAAGATGGGAGTAACGATGTCTTTGGTAAACCACCTTGTGCTTCTGTCAATAGCAATTGGTGTAAGATTTAGGGTTAATATTCCTACATTGCAAAACACTTGTGTATGTTCTCTCAAGCGATTCCCAGCACATTCCTGCTCCTGGAAGAGGCCACATTTGTGGTGCCCTTTTATTTGGGCAGAGAAGAGACATGCAGATAAAACCATTTCCCATCTCCCGAGTCAAGCTACTCTTGCAGCTTGGGCCGTGGGCTGGAGTTGCGCGCCTGGATAATCTGGTCTCCTAATTGCCACCCTGCTTGGAGGCAGCTGCTGAACTGGACCTAAGCTGATTTGGGATGGCAAATTCTGTTAGTTTAATTCTCAGCAACACTGAGGAACTCGTCAGCATGTGAGTATCCCTTGGCTTTTTTCTAGCCACGAGTGTGCCCTGGAGACCTTTGCCAGCTGGTGACCCCACAGCAGTTAGCTTGCAGAGCTCTTGGCTGTGGAGAGGTTAGATTTGTAAGGGCTATTTACTGATGGTTCCCTGAGCTCTTGTGTCTCTGAACGCAGCTTTTCTGTTCCCTTTTGATGCTGTTTGTACAGAATCGTGGCATCTCATTGCTTGGGGCTTCTTAGCCCTCAGTGTTACCACTCTCCTCTTTCCCCATCTCTTTTCCAGACTTGGTAATATGTCATTAGCTGGTGTGGGAGTGGGTTATTGCCTGGTCTCGGTAACCTTCAGGTTACCCTTGCTGTGATGAGGCTCCTGTGCCTCAAAGCTGTTCTGCTATGAACCCAAACCCATCTCACATCTGCATGGAAGGTGTCCTGCCCCCGGGGAAAGGTATCAAAAGTTCCAGGCCCCCAAGGAGTGACTTGAACTATAATATGGAAAAAATGTGGAAAAAAAAAGAAGAAAGATGCATTTTTGAGACTATTTCTTTTGCAACTCCCTCCTATAATATGGAAAAAATGTG